ACCATCGCCATCACATGCGGTCCTGCGACACATCGATCCATGTCGCTTCTGCACGTGTCAGTCTACTCACTCCGTCTCAATGGTGATCATGCTTTTCCCATGTATGTCCCATGTACCTTCACAATATGGCAAAGGCTTAGAATAGTCTATTTTATTTCTCGGAATATCACTCCCCGATCACACCAATTGGAAAACCTGTCACTTATAATAATAATTATTATTTTTGCAATCGAGAAATTGAGGTGAGTGGTTTTATGTCAAAACTGGGGGTTACGACCCCCCACCCCCCCTTTTTTTAGTAACCCACGAACCAGAAGTGCCATCTCCTCGGCTTGTCAGATCCAGAAGCACCACAGGATTCTTATCAATGGTTTCTAACTCTTTGATGCCACCTAAGTTTTTTTTTTTCAATTCTGATGTCTCAAACACAACCAAGAAAGTGCAGTGGTGGCACATGTCTTTAATCGAGCACTTTGGAGGCGAGCGTTGGTGGATCACACAAATGTTGCGAAACTCCCTTCCCATTGGCTTCGAGGTACCATACCCTGGCTTGTCATCAAGTGGTAGAGCCAAGTGCCGGCTAATATTATCTGCCTATCTGTATGAGATAAAGTGTTGCTAACTTGCATGCGTGAGTTTGAGTGCTTCGGTTTCCGCTAGCAAGGCTGGATTATGGACCGGGCCAGTGGGACCACGTGACTCAAATTATCTGCTAACATAAATTGCAGATAGGAATTACGACGAAAGCTAAGTGGCACCAAATACCCATGGATAACCCATGGATAACTGGATTAATGTATCATTTGATCCCAGTTATTTACTTATTATGTATTTCTATAATACCACTTTAAAATATTAACTTGTAACGGTTGATTGTTCCTGTGAAATCAAGACGTGGTCATTTGGACTTCCTCGACCTCGCCCTGATGATGTGTGACGCAGTTTCCAATGAAACGTCAAATCCCATTACGACAATTGGTTGTGAGGATTCTTCTTCAACTAGCCAGTGAACTGAAACAATAATAATTTGCGCAATTAACGCTTGTACACATGACCATTAATTGGTTTGGCTCCGGAGAGTCTTTACGGCACATGTTTTATCAAGATTATTACGTAGTTTGACCCGACAGTTAATTATGAATCATAATACCGCGTGAAAAAACCTAAGTGTTAAATTATTTTATATTTTTTGTTCAGAAATATTGCAATTATAGGTTTGTTTACCGTTCTGTCATCTCGAATGGAAAATTACAAGACGTGAAAACGTTACATCAGTTTCAACAGTTATTTTAAAGCTAATAATGTATATATTGTTAATGTCAACAAGCAATTATAACATTGTGAAATTTATTGCAATTTTACATAATTACAGTACATTGTAAAGCAAATGCACAATTTTCTATAAGTACTGCGTTGGCAGCAATTGAACGGCAATTTCATGAGCAGTTGTTACTGAAGGTCGCACCGTGGTATATAAGGGCTGTTCGTACACCATCAGTTTGAAGATGAACAAGAATTACGATGATGTTCCTTCTCCTTGCCGCGCTGGTGGGTGCTGAGGTGGTCAAGTTTGGGGTTATCTACTGTTAGTGATACTACATTTCCACATGATGAGCCAATTCGTTGAGCTATCATTTTTGGCCAGGTCGCTTATGAAAAAAAAAACACGTAGCTCAATGGGGCCTTACCCTGGTTAAATCAAATTAAAAAGTTACATTTGTGTTCTATACGAATCATTATGCCTTTTCCTCCAACGCATTATTTTACGATGTTTCCCGTTCCTCCGTAGGTCTCACTTTGATGTTGTCCTGTGCTAATGCACCAATGTTCTCGCTTGCAAGCCAGCTGGGTAACTGACCAATCAAATGTTCTGTCTAACACATGAACAATGCATTGAATTAAATCAATAAGGTCTGCAACAAATCTCACCCTGGCATGATCACCACGAGCATGACATGCATCGACTGCATAGAGGAGGCAAGGATTCCTGCCAGGTGTGCGTAGAGCACAGCTCCCATTTCTGATCATCATTTATCGCTGTAACAGGCTGTGGAAGCGACATTGTGGGCAGCAGTGGGTAGTGCAACAACATCCATTGTTGTACAATACATCTGTGCTCCCACGTCTATGCTCCCTGACTTCACCACCCCCACCAACCAGCTTGGTAGAGTATAGTTAATCCCCACGGTGCAGGGAGGACTTCGTTCAGTAGTAGACCGATAATGCCCTGTCCGTGTACATTAGCATTGTTGTTGTCATTGTCGTTGAAGCCTACCGACTCCTCCGTCTCGCTGCGGGGTGACTCAGGTGGCCCTACGGTGTGCAATGGCGAGCTGCACGGTGTCGTGTTCTGGGGGTACGGCTGTGCCGAGCTCAACCAGCCCGGCGTGCACACCAGGGGTGTACAGGTTCAACTCCCGGATCGCCGATAGCCTCGCCTCCAACTGAAGCCCTCGATAGCATTGTCTGCTCTTTAGATGCGATGCAATAAACACGAGTATGATGCTTTACTCACGTCACTACCTTTCGCAGTTTCACTACTCACCAGACACACTCAGCAGACATTCGTCACTACAATACATTGACCCTCATCACTCACGTCTTTCCAAGCACCACAATCTCCGCAGATCAGATGCTCACCACTCACAAGATGCTCACAAGATGCTCACCACTCACACAAGATATTTACCGCTCACTCCTCACCACTCACCAAGAACCACACACTAAGTGATAACAGCTCGGCTAAATTTCGATTTAAAGCCTTCGTGACTGCAAGGATTAATCTTCTTTGGTTCTTTCGGTAAAGTCATGACTTTACCGAAAGAACCAAAGAAAACAGCTCGGCTGTCAATATAACCATTTATACATGTCCCACTTCAAACACAGTACAAAGACAATGATCAACCCGACCTGCAAGTGCTCTGACACGTGCATTGCCTTTGTAGTGTTCGCATTTTGGCGTTCTCTGATCTGACACTGGTGAGACTAGGCTATAAAGAAGGCTTCTCTGGTGTCGGCCAATCAGTTTCAAAGACAATGCAGAGATTACCAGAGCATGTTTGTTTGCATGTTCACCACAAGTACGTGTGGTTAATACAGACTTGATAACTTGTTGTTCAAACATCTGAACACCTGTTTCACTGCCAGAAAGAGTACAAATCTAATCTTATTTTTCATACTTTGATGCTGGCCAAAACGTCCCATAGATATAACTTTGTTAAACAGGTTTAGAGTCAGTGTCACACCACAGTTATAGATGTTGTACACACGATTTACTCACATAGTGTGTGTGCAACTTTGAAATGAACCAGTTCAATGTTTCCAGAGTAGTCTTCAAGTCGTCTGTAGTTAGTGTGGCTCCATTGCATAAATATGAGCCATTTTCATGGCATTCTATGGTAATATCATGGAAGCCATCATTGCAAACACGTGACCTTGTTCATATAAACGATCGTGATGCAGATAATTGCATTGCACAGCGGTGCAACAGAGTTTCAAATGCACTGTACGGGGCAATAAAACAAGGCGAAGGATGAGGAGTGAGCGCACCATCAGAAGCGACAGCTCTTGATGAAGGACGCCCTGGCCAAGAGGCAGGACACGGATGATGCTGCTGCTGCTGCTGCTCGAGGCAGCGAGGGGGCGCGCGGTGAAACTGAGAAGGAGAAGAGAGCTCAAGAGCAGCATGGATAGACGGAGTTGGAACCAGGCGCTGGCAATGGGCAGAGGAGTAAAGAGAGAGAGGGGATGGTGTCTGCACCTCTGTTGCAAGGTGTGTTGAATCAGCACCTACGAGTCTCCAGATTTCATGGGATTCATTAACAATCGGATTTTCAGTCTGTGGTGCGGAGTGTTTAATATTTGAAAAAGAGTGGTTTTATGATAGTTTTTTTTACAACAGTGACAGTCGTAAAACAGAGGTTTGCGATGATAAAAGGGAGAGGTTTGCGATGATTAAAGGGTGTGAAAGGTTCTCTGTGCTCAAGTGATAACCTGTGGGGGCATTAGGCCACCGCTGATCACGTGCTATGAGGGGCCATTGGAGGTGGTAACCGTACCGTACTCTTTGGTTCTTTCGGTAAAGTCACGTAGATAGAAAATTAATAGATCACGACGTTTCGATCGCAACACAAGCAACCGTCATCAGGTGTGAAACAAACACAGCAGGAGAGCTGCTGACGTAGAAACTCCTGGAACTCACAACTGATGAAGGTTGCTTGTGTTGCGATCGAAACGTCGTGATCTATTAATTTTCTATCTACGTGACTTTACTGAAAGAACCAAAGAGTATGGATTCCTGCAGTCACGAAAGCTTCAAATCAAGATTTTCCGTATCGTGTTGTACTACACTGCCGTGTCACCTACACATGACGAGAAAGATGGTGAATTACACTTTCTTAGCTCTTTCGGTAAAGTCACGTTGAAAGGAAACAATAAAATAATAAAATATATAAAACAATAAAAATTCTCACGACGTTTTGACCATAACACAAACGGTCGTCATCAGGTGTGTCGGTTTGCATGAATTTATTTATTTTTTAACGGTGTATTTATTTATTTAAAAAACGTCAGCGCCACGCGCAGCGATTTGGCAGTTTATTTAGAAGGACGAATCCATCTATGTTCTGAAAAGAGGAGGGGGGAGACGAAAAATTAATGTATGCTGTCTGAAAGCCACTGTAAGCGTGAACAATCAATTAAGACCTGAAATGGTTAATCAAATCTTTTCAATGATTGCTAAGCCAGAATCCATCTTCTCGGTTGAAATTGTCTCTGTGCTTGTATATGTGGATAGTCTCATGAACGAATCTCTCATGGTAGCCAGATGGCTTACAAATAACCTCTGTCTTGGAGAAGTCAATGTCATGTGAGCCTACTGAATTAATACAATGATCTGCCACGGCCGAGGTGTTGGTCCTACCGTGTTTAAGGTCTGCTTTGTGTTCACGAATGCGGTCCGAGACATGGCGTTTGGTTTCTCCAATGTAACTACTACAATTTCAATTTCAACGTGACTTTACCGAAAGAGCTAAGAATATGAATTACTGCAGCCACGAAAGCTTTAAATCAGAATTACACTTTGTTTAACTAAAGCGACGATTCCGCAGCTTTATATTGCACACGTTTACCAAGGACCATTTATATTTATGCTACGTTTAACCCACGGACACGGCATTATAAATTATGCATAATCAAACATTTGAGAGAGATAAAAAAAAAACTTAAGCAGAAGCCAATATTTAAGTAACTGGCTGAAGCCACTCACCCAAATAAGTGATCCTATTTGTGGAATAAATAAAAAAATATACTTAATCAAGTTGTGTAGCTTTCCTGGGATACGAGTTCCAAAGAAATTTTCTTGCCAATCATTTTTACATTTTAACGCTTTCCAACTAAGGTTGAATTTATTTATGCGCAGGTGCTGTCCATCTGTCTGTAAATTCGTCCATAGGGAGGTGTGGGTCGGGGGCATGGCAACGTTCGTGAAGGTGGTGCAATATGAACCAAGCTGTATGTGCACAATTGTTTTGCCAAACAATGCTAGAATACCAATCACTGTGTTCATGCTTGAAGCAAAGGGACTCACTGGGATAAATGGCCCTTGGAATGTTCAAAGTGCAAGGTCAAGGATATAGCCTTGAGGATATATTTTTAAATTACCATTTGCATGTGTGTTATTTAAAATACAGTGCAACTTCTAAATATAACGTGACATTATTTATATGAACAAAAATATTGAACTTGAGAGAAAAATGTTACTCGAGTATCAGTTGTGAGCAGAGTGTCCGAACTGTAAGCAGTAAAACAAGTGTAAAAATTGTAACTTTATCTCGATGTCATGTCACCTGTTCCTTATCATATTGTACTTTGTACATACACTTGCAAAGTTAAACATTGACAAAACAAGAGCCAGCCATTTTGAGTGGCCCAAGATCTGCTCTGCGTCTCTCTCTCTCCTGCACAGAGCGCGTGTCCTATTCCCCTTCTCGGCTGTTCGCACCACTCCTCACACTCGCACACACACAAGGCGAGGCCGCGCGAGAGACATGGCAGGGGGCTACGTGTGCTCGCTGTCGCCCGAGCTGGTGGAGAGGGCTCGCGTGGAGCTGGGAGAGAACCCCGAGACGAGGGCCCAGGAGGTGCAGAAGCTGCGAGAGGCGCTCGCTCGTCGCCCCGACATCCCGGCCCGGACGGACGACGCCTTCCTGCTGCGGTTCCTGCGAGCCAGGAAGTTTGACCACGAGAAGACCTTGAAGCTGATAAAGAACTACTACAAGTAGCGTCTATCGCTTGCCACAACACACATCCACACACACACGCAAGATCAAAGCACTCACTGCCATTGATGGCCATGACGACAAACACACTGGACACACACAAACACGTGCATGGCTCTCACTGTGCCGTTGTGGTGAATGGCAGTAACAAAACAAGGTATACTCCGGTGGAGGGTTTTTTGTTGGTGTGCTAAGTAACTCTCTGATTGTGTTTTTGGGTTTTACCCTGAAGCTCCCAGCACGTGGAGGGAAATGTCAGATATCATGCCCAAACAAAACACTGAAACACGTGTCGGAGATCATAATTCACACTTGCCAATCCTGCTAATTGAATCAGAAGTGTGTCGATCTTTTTACGTCTTTTCCAATTACCAATTTTCAAAGCTATAACCGAAACTTTTACGAAACATTTTTTTTGGGGGGAAAAACTGACGCAATGTTTTGCTTTGAAATATCGCTATGGTTTAAAAGTGTTTAAACTTGCCAGGCTGACCGATGTCATTTGTTTGATATATTTAATGAGTAATGCATGCAATGTTTATACACTTTATTTATTTCAATCAAACATCCTGTTTAATTCTTGTTTATTAGACTACAGCAAAAATCCATTACCCCATATGGATGCGAGGGGGGAAATTTCGCTGATCCTGTAATCGCGCGATGCACCACGGAGGTCAGACTTATAATCCCCCCAAAAGACGTTGATACGGATGTGGTGTCACCAATTACGAGAGGAATTATTTGCGCAATTCCATTAATCAGCAAAAAAAACCGCGGATTACAAGGGAGTGCGCGGCACGCAACTAGCTGCTGAATTAACCTGCCATAATTCCGTGTATTAAGGGTTTCTCAGAGACCCAAATAGTGCGCTTCTGTGACATGGGTCTTTGTTTAAGGATTCGAAATCCAACTGTCAAAAAAGCTAAATCCTGTCCACAAAACAAATCCAGTCTCTGCAGACGCACATCCAAAATATGGCAACAACAAGAAAAACCCTTTCACGTTTCCCTGCAGCTCTGCGTGAGCGCCGCCACTGATACGGATCACGCTCTGCGGCGCGCCAAGCGTTCTCACTCCACCACGGCGGTGTGCCGCGGATTACGGGAGCAGCCGCAAATGGCCAATAAACTGTTAATTACAGGGATTTTTGTATTATTACTTCGCAGATTATTTGCTTTCTGCTGTACTGTGGTGCAATTTGTAAAGGTGTAGCTGCCCTTGTCTGACGTGCGTATGCTGATATTTGGTTTGCTCTTCAGTTGAAATTCCTACAGGCATCCTTCTTCACTGGCCACACACAAACACATTCCTGAGATGCTGTTGCTATTGTCAATCGTGTTGAACAAACGTCCGCGTGTGTGTAAAGTTATGTAACTGCCATCTCGTCTCGCTCCTCTGTGGATTCATTTAATTTTAGGTGCCACCAGACCTGGCCAGACGTCTTCCAGGATTTCCGTCCGTCCGCCGTGAAAAACGTCCTGGACAGCGGCTTCATCCGCGTGGTGCCACAGCGCGACTCCCAGGGCAGACGCATCATCATCCAGAGTCCCGGTGAGCGGGGACCCTGCCACTCACTTTCACGGAGACCCACATCTTCTGCTGGGCTTGCAGAAACCCGTGCTGCTACTAACGCACAGTATGGATGCCACATTGTTCAAATTAGTTTAATCGGAGTTGGAAAAGCAAGCTGCGTGCTGGCTCAAAGGCCTAATACCAAGTCAGAGCCCAAAGTTGGTACTGCTGCCATCCTGGGTTTGGATAGAGGCAGCTGCCCTTGCCTTCACCACTATCAAGAGTTCCTCATGATAGAGGGTTTTTTGGGTTAGATCGCGTAAATGTGTGTCGTTAAACCCACCACCACCTGACACAGCCAACTAGTAAGGGTTGTCACGTAAACAGAACATGCCAATTCGTCACTAGTACAGCACACCGGTGTGTTGGAGAGCCAAGCCACAACATTTACAATCTCAACATTTACAATCTCAGATTGTAATCTCAGATTGTAAATGTTGTGGCTTGGCTCTCCAACACACCGGTGTGCTGTACTCGTGACAAATTGGCATGTTCTGTTTACGTGACAACTCTTACGAGTTGGCTGTGTCAGGTGGTGGCGGGTTTAACAACACATTTATATATTTTCGTGATCTAACCCCAAAAAAACCTCTATTATGGATGATATTGATCGTGAAAACCTACGTTCTAAACTAAGTTCCTCAGAGATTTATTTTGATTGTAAGCCTGATCAGGAAGGGAGAGGTTATGCCACATAGCCAACCAGTCAAAACTAGTCTTAGAATACTGTTCCAACCACACCACCGTGCCACTCTTGGAAAATAGTGTGACATTAGTTCAGCACACGTCAAATCCTAGTTAAATTGAAGACTCCGATCCTTTCTGCGCCTCTCTCCGCGTCCTTGTGCAAGCACAAACGCACGGTCTCGCTCTGACGTTTGGTTTCCAACAGGAAAGTGGAACCCTTCGACGACTCCCATCATTGAGAATCTCAGAGCAATGTACATGACGCTGGAGCTGCTGCTGCAGTCGGAGGAGACGCAGGTGAACGGGATCGTCCTCCTAGGAGACTACAAGGGCTTGGGCCTTGCCCAGGTGACCAACTTCAGCCCATATTTTGTGAAGCGTATGACTACAGTGCTGCAGGTAAGGCACACCTAATGCTCTTCATGTGACATAAATCACTTTCAAAATGAAAGAAAAGGCTGGGATATCCAATCGTTTAATCCATTATGGTACTTTGCTGTTCATCAGTTTGATTACACCAATAAATGGATAATACAAAAATGTTGAGGAAAAAGTCTCAGCTCTGTTGCATGTGTCCCGCTGGACAGGAGATGACGGACGGAGATTGGTGAAGTGATCCGCATCATCTGCCGTGTCACGCAGAGTGTGGCTTCTGGGGGATTTGAGGGTGGCTACCATGTTTAAAGAGCCCCCAAGTAATCAAACTGAAAAAATAGTATATTACAAGTTTATGTTTATATTCTTAGTTTTTTCGGTAAAGTCACGTTGAAGAGAAACAACAACGTGACTTTACCAAAAAAACTAAGAATATGAATTACTGCAGTCACGAAAGCTTTAAATCAAAATTTAAGTTTATGTTTGTTATATGGCTCGTTGTTCCAACTGTAATCAAAAGAATGAGTTTTGGCATCGGTCGTGTATACCATGTGGCTAAAAATGTCAAAGTCCGCTCCACCTTGGGGTGTTGACATTATAGTTTGGAAGTTGCCATTATGAGGTTAAATGCAGGTATGCGATTTTTGCAGAGCCATATACTCACCACTCAACCAAACAAGCTCTCATTCTTTTTCGATTTGAAGCTTTCGTGACTGCAAGGATTCATCTTCTTTGGTTCTTTCGGTAAAGTCACGTAGAATGAGAATAAAATAATAAAATAACACAATAAAATTCTCACGACATTTCGGCCACAACACAAGCGGCTGTCTTCAGGTGAAAGGTACAGAACTGTCGGGACGACAGAGCTCCCAACCAGCTTAAAAGTCGCTACGAATCTTAACATCGTTCATTGAAGCTCTGTCGTCCCGACAGTTCTGTACCTTTCACCTGAAGACGGCCGCTTGCGTTGTGGCCGAAACGTCGTGAGAATTTTATTGTTATTTTATTATTTTATTCTCATTCTACGTGACTTTACCGAAAGAACCAAATAAGAAGCTCTCATTCATTTGTATGAATCAGCATTATATTTAGTTAATCTTTCATTACAGTACCAGAATACTCAACCTTAACTCTGATTTACTATACTGTAATCGCGTCGCTGTAATTAAGCGCTTGATGCCTAAGTTACATTCCGAATTAATACAAAGTGGCATTGTGCTTTGCCTCCAGGATGCCTTCCCAATGCGAATTAAAGGACAGAGCAGCATTAATGAACCGGTCATATTCAAGGCCGTATTTGCGATGATAAAACCATTTCTCAAGGAAAAAATGAGAAAACGGGTAAGCCTTAACCTGGTATGATTGTGATCACATTATGTAAGTTTCACCGGGCAACATAATTTCAATTTAAGGGGGGCGGCTAACATCAGTGGTGAGTGATATCTGAACTCGTCCGGGGCACCCCCCCCCCCCCCCCTTCACAAGTATTTTTGCGGTAGTTTGTGTTACTCTTTGGTCATGAGCAGGACCGATGTTTATACTGCTAGTTTTTTTTTCAGTTTCAGTTTCATTTATTAGGTATAACCCTGTGAGCCATGCGGCTCTTGACTCGGGTGCAACCGCAACAAACAAAAACATGAACAAGAAACATCTTAAAGTGACTACACGCAACAGAAAAATCCAGGAAAAACCAGCAAAGTCTTCCAGAAAAAACACATTATTTCAACGCTGTGTGCAAAAATCCCAGTGGGATGCAAGTCAAACAATAACAACCATACGACAATTTAGATTAAATTATCAGGCTAACTCTGTACTACAACAAACAAACGTGGCTAAACCAAAAAAAAATCAAAATCACCAAAATAAAGCGATAAAAATAATGTAACAGTGATCATAGGAACTGTGATTCGAATTTAACAATAAACGATATACATAACACGTACGACCAAACTTTGCAGCCATAGCTGGCTGCATGAATCACTCCATAACAGCAGGAGTATCAGCAGCAGTATGGTGGACAGGTTGAAGAAACTTGCATTTTGTTTTAACTGTAAATGTGCAGTAAATGTGATGATGAGGCTGAAGAGATAATTACTGGAAGCCTAACTTTGTATGCAGCATCCAGCGTACCCTCTGGCTTCCTGCCTGCACTTGTCATAATTAATGATGCTTTAAATCCACTGTTTTCAAATTTACAAAAGGGCAATGAGTAATGCCGACTAAACACTGCGACCAGTAATTTGGCCGGTATGGAGAGCGTCTGAAACTCGTAAAAAAAAAAAAGAGAAATTCAAATGCTGAGGTTGCTAACAATACGCGGTCTTATAAGGGGGCAATTGTTTTAGTTTACCCGTGTGCATGACCACATCATCCAGAAGGACATCCTTTGAATGGGCGACTAACATGCGTAAAGCTGGTGGAGTCGGTGCTGTGCGAAGCGGAGGGCAGTGCAGACAATGTGTCGTTGTTGTTCTTTACTTACCACTACCTTCATCAACCCGCACAGTTTAAATAAACCTCACTGTACGGCATGGGAAGGCCTTCATCCAGCAGTGGATTGACAAATGGGCTGTGCATGTAAAGGTGCAGCCCTCCAGTTGCTAGGGTAGCCACTGCTGGCAGAAGAGCCTGCATTAGTGGGGGCACTCTAGGCAGTCCCTCAAGGGAATATTACTCCCAGCTCTTTGAAGCTGCTCTGGTGTCTTGAAGAGGCGGGAATGCCTAAACTTTTCCCCACCGCACACGAGCCGCCGATCTTCTGTGGTGTAACAACAAATACTGCTCGGTGGACACACAGGGGGCGCATTTAAGAATATTGCGCTATTGTTTCCTGTGGTTTGCAAGTCCAGTGTGACGACCATTCCACCACGGCAGATCCCCTCGACGTGCACACGTTCGTGTTTTCTTTGCAGATGAACTTCCACGGCTCGGACTTCCTGTCGCTGCACAAGAAGATTTCTCCGGATCTGCTGCCAGCGGAGTACGGGGGCACGGCGCCCGCGATCACCACCGACACCTGGACCCAGACGCTGCTCGCCGCCGAGCCCTACTTCCTCGAGACGTTTGGAAATATCTCCTTCACCAAGGCCGAGTCGCCCGACGAGGTCCTCACGGCCGAGGAGAAGAAGCTGCAAGAGGATCTGAACCGCGCTATCGAGGAGGCGGGGCCCGAGGAGGAGTGGACCAAGTTCTAGGTTTAGATTCAGCAAAGGAAGGCCACTCCAGGTCTGAGGTGTTTACACTCAAAAGTGCTCTTCTTTAATCGACCACTTGAATCCTTGCTACTGCATAGATTTCACGGTTGTTCTTAACAACTGTGAAGTGTTTTTGGGTTGTACCGCACGTTGTTTGGCACGATGTCCGATGTTTAGCACCATGTGCTGGGAGCTTCTCTTTAGAGCTGACCATACAACTTGGCCATACTTCACTACTATTCAGTTCCTGAAGAAGCTCCCTGCACTTGCAGCGAAACGTTGGACATAGCACGACACAAGATGCAGTGCAACCCGAAAACACATCGGAGAGTTGTTCAACACAACCACACGCAACTACGCAGTAGCAAGGGTAACAGTGGTTGAATGAAGGCGAGAGGGCTTGCGAGTGTACACTCTTCAAACGGTCTCAACTGGGAGCACGTGGGAAATTACAGTGCGTCCTCGAAATACTGGGTTAATTCAGACAAGGGGAGCCCCCGGTATACAAGTTTTATTGCAATACAATAAAAACCCGTTAATTCCATGAATAAGAAAAGTCCGATTTATAACGTGCACAGAATTTGTGCAGCAAGTCGATAACACACGTCTGAGCTCCGGGGATAAGCTTAAGTGTCACTTGAGAGCTCTTCCATACACGTGTGTCTTTAGCTGCCTCTTGATGACTGTGGTAGGCCGCCCGTTGTATCTCACCGCAGGAAGGAAGCTCGCACGTGGGGAGGGAGACGGTGAAGCGATGTTCCGTCAGCTCGGTATTTTGCGTCGGCATCGGCTTCTGTGAGCGAGTGAGGTGCTCTGCTTTGGAGTTTCATTGCCATCCAAATTATCCATATTTTGTTAAATTGTTTTCCCACTCTATAGGCCTTGCCAACAGGGGGCTCTGAGGAGTGGAGGCATTATTCTACTGTGTTCAATCTTACAGCATCAGATCACATCCTGATTGTATACACCTCAACAGAGTTACATTCCAGGGCTGCCATGAGTACCCACACGGTTATATAGAGGCGGATTTCACGTCGATTGACACTAATTGACCCCCTCCTACATATTCATCAAGATGTCATGAAATAAAATGTTTTTTTTAATGTACATCTTTTTGTTTCAACATCCTTGCATAGCTTCTGTAAACTATATCGGTGTGCCTCGAACCGTACGCGTCCCACGACGATACGAGAAATGAAAACTTTGTAATCCTGAATGGTCTTTGGTTTTATTCGGTAAAGTCACGTAGGTAAAAAATAAAACAACAAAAATCACGACGTTTCGGCCACAACACAAGCGGCATTCATCAGGTGAAGGGATCAGGCTGTCTCGAGGACAGCGCTGGAGTGAAACAGCCACGCTCAGACCGCGGACCTTTAAGCTGTGTGCGAGGAAACAAAGTGCCTTGACAAAGGAATTAGCATAAAAATTAGCATTTGATTGGCCGACTTAGCATAGAGGTGGTGTACGTGCGGGTGGACTTGCCGTTTGGTGTGGGGGGGGGAAGGGGGAGTTTACCTATTGATGGTGTGAAAAGGGAATTTTTAAGAGCTGCGAAAGTTTGGGGTACCACTACTTGAAAAATATACTGTACCATTGAAAATTAGTTTAATGTTAAGTTCGATTTAGAACATCTTTCCAATGGTTGCTTAATTTGAAACCATCTTCTCGGTTGAAATTGTGTCTGTGTTTGTAGATCTGAATTGCCTCGTGAACAAATCTCTGATAAAAACCCGTGGGTTTGCAAAGAACCTTGGTATCGGAGAAAATTATATCGTGATGACCCACAGCGTTGTAACAGTGATCAGCCACGGCAGAAGAATTCGTTTTGCCGTGTTTCAAATCTGATTTGTGCTCGCGAATTCGGTCAGAGACATATCGCTTTGTCTCCCCGATATAGCCATCACCGCAGGTACAACTCAATTTGTAAACCCCGGGGTACTGTAAGTCAGGAATGACATCCTTCACGGATGGGATCAGATCACGAATTTTGTGTACTGTATTGAACCGGACCTGGATCTTGTGTTTGTTTAGAATTTTGGAAATCTTTTTAGTAACGCCTGCTATATATGGTAGTGTGATGGTTTTTACCAGAGTATCAAGTGGTTGTTTCTGTATAGAGGGAGAAACAGCTTGGCAGATGGTACGGTCAGAGTATCCATTCCTTTTGAGGGCCAGGTGTGCATGTTTTAATTCACTGGTTAGGTGGTGTTGGTCTGAAATGCAATGAGCCCTATAGTATAAAGTTTTGATGAGCGAATTATTTTGGGCTGGGTGGTGGTGGGAATCAGGTTTCAAGTAGGAATCTGTGTGGGTGGGTTTCCTGTAGACAGAATGCCCCAATGAGCCATCAGGTCTCCTCTCAAACAGAACATCTAAGAATGGAGCTTGCCATCTTTCTCCACTTCCATGGTGAATTTGATGGCGGGATGTCTGGAATTGATGTGGTGTAGGAAAACGTTCAGAGCTGGGAGGCCATGTGGCCAAATGACGAAAGTGTCATCCACATATCTCTTCCACAGGGAAGGTCTGAGGGTGGAAGTCTGGATGGCGTCTGATTCAAATTTCTCCATGAAAATATTGGCTATCACTGGTGACAAGGGGGATCCCATGGGGGTACCCTCATTTTGTTTGTAGAAGGAGCCATTCCAAGTAAAGTAGGTATTGTTGAGGCAGTGCTTAACCAGTGCAGGTGTGTCGGGGTCTAGTCCATGTTGGACCAAATTTTCAATTATTTCAATGGTATCAGGTACTGGGACCTTGGTGAACAAAGAGACCACATCGAAGCTGACAAGGATATCGTCAGGGGACAGTACAACGTCTTTGACCATAGAGACCAATTGGGCTGAGTTAAGTACTACAGAGGCGGTCTTGCCAGTGAAAGGCAGCAAGGTATCTGACAGAAAACGGGCTAGTCTATAGGTACGGGAGTTGATCGTGGATACGATGGGTTGTAGTGGGGTGCCTTCTTTATGAATCTTGGGAAGACCATAGAATCTAGGGGGTCTTGCAGCAGAAGGTTTTAGGGAGGGACGTTTAGTTGGGTCGATTAGGGAGCTCGAACTTGTGATGATCTTGTTGGTTTTTAATAAAACAACAAAAATCATGACGTTTCCAAACTTTCGCAGCTCTTAAAAATTCCCTTTTCACACCATCAATAGGTAAACTCCCCCCCCCCCCGCACCAAACGGCAAGTCCACCCGCACGTACACCACCTCTATGCTAAGTCGGCCAATCAAATGCTAATTTTTATGCTAATTCCTTTGTCAAGGCACCTTGTTTCCTCCACACAGCTTAAAGGTCCGCGGTCTGAGCGTGGCTGTTTCACTCCAGCGCTGTCCTCGAGACAGCCTGATCCCTTCACCTGATGAATGCCGCTTGTGCTGTGGCCGAAACGTCGTGATTTTTGTTGTTTTATTTTTTACCTACGTGACTTTACCGAATAGAACCAGAGTATGGATCCTTGCAGTCACGAAAGCTTTAAATCTATAATTGATAACCTCTACAGGGAGGGCTTTCACCTATCTGTTAGAGCTGTTAACAGACAACGGGACAAGAAGTCACAGCTCATCGAGACGCTGACCTTCCTCAAAAGATGCCGCGATCACAATGTAATACCCATCGCTTTCACACTCACTTCTGCTGCTGTATCTTCTCCGAATTCTAAACAGATTCTGTTTAAGGCCAGCCTATCTTTAATCTCAGAGAGGATAAGGCTACTCCGATTTGAACTCGATACTTTAGACAGGACTCTCCTACAAGCTCATTTAATGTTAACACAAAAAATGTCACCTTCTGATTGGAATCACGTAGACAACATGACTGCTTCTTCTGCTGATTCACTATCAGTCAAATGTAAAGCTAACCTGATTTCTAAATTCAACCACCTATCAAAGAAGAACCCAGTTCCACATATAACAAAACTAGATGTTAACAAAATCGTCATTAATCAGAGTAGCACCCCGATTTCGGACAATCTGAAAACAGTACTGGCTAGGGGACTGAATTTTGCTGTCACCCCAAAACACATACCAGTAGATGATATCATCTCTCAGGTCGATGTAGCCTCAAAGGCGTAGGACACATCCAAGCAGACGTTGCGAGAGCTGAAATAGCCACTATTCTTAAGAATGCTAAGAAACCCATTAGTAACATCAGCAAAAATGAACGCTCTGAACTCGCGAATTTAAAAAACAAGTGATATAGTCATCCTCTCAGCCGATAAAGGCAACGCTACTGTAATTATAGATAAAGATTAATACAACAACAAAATCCAGAATCTGCTCAACGATGGAAGTTACTCAAGAATTAAAAATTACCCTACCATTAGCCTAGCAATAAAAACCAACAAGATCATCACAAGTTCGACCTCCTTAATCGACCCAACTAAACGTCCCTCCCTAAAACCTTCTGCTGCAAGACCCCCTAGATTCTATGGTCTTCCCAAGATTCATAAAGAAGGCACCCCACTACGACCCATCGCATCCACGATCAACTCCCCTACCTATAGACTAGCCCGTTTTCTGTCAGATACCTTGCTGCCTTTCACTGGCAAGACCGCCTCAGCAGTACTTAACTCAGCCCAATTGGTCTCTATGGTCAAAGACGTTGTACTGTCCCCTGACGATATCCTTGTCAGCTTCGATGTGGTCTCTTTGTTCACCAAGGTCCCGGTACCTGATACCATTGAAATAATTGAAAATTTGTTCCAACATGGAATAGACCCCGACACACCTACACTGGTTAGGCACTGCCTCAACAATACCTACTTTACTTGGAATGGCTCCTTCTACAAACAAAATGAGCGTACCCCCATGGGATCCCCCTTGTCACCAGTGATAGCCAATATTTTCATGGAGAAATTTGAATCAGACGCCATCCAGACTTCCACCCTCAGACCTTCCCTGTGGAAGAGATATGTGGATGACACTTTCGTCCTTTGGCCACATGGCCTCCCAGCTCTGAACCTTTTCCTACACCACATCAATTCCAGACATCCCACCATCAAATTCACCATGGAGGTGGAGAAAGATGGCAAGCTACCATTCTTAGATGTTCTGTTTGAGAGGAGACCTGATGGCTCATTGGGGCATTCTGTCTACAGGAAACCCACCCACACAGATTCCTACTTGAAACTTGATTCCCACCACCACCCAGCCCAAAAGAATTATCTCATCAAAACTTTATACCATAGGGCTCATTGCATTTCGGACCAACACCACCTGACCAGTGAATAAAAACATGTACACCTGGCCCTCAAAAGGAATGGATACTCTGACCGTACCATCTGCCAAGCTGTTTCTCCCTCCATACAGAAACAACCACTTGATACTCCGGTCAAAACCATCACACTACCATATATAGCAGGCGTTACTAAAAAGATTTCCAAAATTCTAAACAAACACAAGATCCAGGTCCGGTTCAATACAGTACACAAAATTCGTGATCTGATCCCATCCGTGAAGGATGTCATTCCTGACTTACAGTACCCCGGGGTTAACAAATTGAGTTGTACCTGCGGTGATTGCTATATCGGGGAGACAAAGCGACATGTCTCTGACCGAATTCGCGAGCACAAATCAGATTTGAAACACGAGATTTCACGTCGTTAAAATATTGAAAGGGGACGGACGGACGGACACATTAATCTATTGCAGGCTGGTACACTCAGTTTACAACTTCGTTCCTACCAGTATAATTTTCTCCGATACCAAGGTTCTTTGCAAGCCCACGGGTTTTTATCAGAGATTTGTTCACGAGGCAATTCAGATCTACAAACACAGACACAATTTCAACCGAGAAGATGGTTTCAAATTAAGAAACCATTGGAAAGATGTTCTAAATCGAACTAAACATTAAACTAATTTTCAATGGTACAGTATATTTTTCAAGTAGTGGTACCCCAAACTTTCGCAGCTCTTAAAAATTCCCTTTTCACACCATCAATAGGTGAACTCCCCCTGCCCCCCCCGCACCAAACGGCAAGTCCATCTGCACGTATACCACCTCTATGCTAAGTCGGCCAATCAAATGCTAATTTTTATGCTAATTCCTTTGTCAAGGCACCTTGTTTCCTCGCACACAGCTTAAAGGTCCGCGGTCTGAGCGTGGCTGTGTTTCACTCCAGCGCTGTCCTCGAGACAGCCTGATCCCTTCACCTGATGAAGGACGCTTGTGTTGTGGCCGAAACGTCGTGATTTTTGTTGTTTTATTTTTTACCTACATGACTTTACCTAATAGAACCAAAGAGTATGGATCCTTGCAGTCACAAAAGCTTTAAATCTAGAATCCTGAATGGCTTCCGCAGGGCAACGCCTCGACACGAACGCGTGAGCCCCTAGACGTGTGAAGGAGTTCCAGCCCAGGTGAGCCTTGAACTTCGACTCTTCAGGCAGCCAGAATCCCCTATTATCCGCTCCTTTTATTCTCTTCCCCGTACTTTTTTTTGGAACTTCCCATGCCTCTCCACCAATCCCCTTCATGTCTCCCAACCGACGCCTCGTTTCCATGTTAGTTGTCCCCGATGACCAATCCGATTTGAGTATTCTCCAACTCCGACTGTGTGCCTGACGCCGGCACCCCCCCCCCCCCCCGATATCAATACGACTCGAGCGTGTTATTCTAGCTCACAAGCCTGTTAAGACTCGGCGAGTGCATATTTGTTCACTCATAAGGATTGCCTCTCTGCGAGAGAATCCACGCGTCCTCGTGTGCCGAGCCACGCCGACAACTGGCGAATCGCATCGACTTCTTTGCGAAAACGCCGCACGGCGACTCTGAGATGTTGCGCTCCGCAACCTTTTTGATCTCCTGTCCTCGCCTGAATCTGCTGTCAGTCCTCTCTGATCGTCATGGTGACCGGCTGTAGTGAACCAACACAATAAACGTTGAAGCGCGCTCTACGAGAATGATAAAACATGCACAGTGGAAGCTTTTGTACTTTAGGATGTTACCGAATGGACTGAAACAGCCGTGCACAACAGCAGCATGTGCCACAGCTTGGCAAAGTCTCGGGCCCTCGAACTTAGCTACAGCTGCGCTTGCTTCATTTAAATACACCGAACAATATCTGTTGCAATCTGCGCACACACGCACACACATTCCATTGTAAGTATGCTGTGCATTTAATCATTGGTTTTGATTCGCCATGCGAGAGTACAAAAAACAAGACTCAATCCATTCATCATGAGTGTCAGCAGGGATTACCCCTTGAGACTCAGGGTTTATCACGAATTTGAGTGTCTCACGGCCGTGCAATGAATTCCCACGTTTGTTGTTGTTGTTTACCTGTGGTAAGTAACACACACACACGCCGCCCGATGCCCTGCGGTGCACGAACTGCTACTGCTGCTGTCCAGGGCTCACGTCTTGCTACGTGAGGAGGGGCAGCTCCAGTGTTAACTAGAATCTCAGCGACTCAAGTTGAGTATTATTATTTCATTTACTACCGGGGCGTGGTGAATGTTAGCCTCCTATTGCTGCTGTAAAAAATCATTTAGTAACCACCCCATCTCTCACTCTTCTCGTGTCTCACGTTATTGGATATCCATATCAATTCCTTGGGATTTTCCCAATGTTTTTCAGGAGGGGAGGTATCAAAGTAGGTTGGACTTCTTTCGCACCGTACGTAGCCAACCATGCTGACCGGTGGTGATTTGGATGGACACTCGGGTTGACGTGTAGGCTATTGAGAGGCAAACAACACACACACACTGTAATACGTGACGTTTCAGAGGCGATGGATCTTCTTCACAACACATCAGTACGACGATACAACATATCATGGAACATTTAGACAAAGGTCCCCCGTATAGTCTAAACAGACTGTTGGAACAAGTGCTGTTAGCGAGCACCTATGAAAGCCGGAACGGCACACGAGGGGGTGGGTGGCCAATACCACGCCCGGCCGCCTTTGTCTCCCTAGTGGCGACGTGTACACACAGTACCAGGTACTCATTTGAGGCTGAGGCGACGTGCGCATATAACAAACGCACAAAACCGATATTTTGAAACAGGACGTGCAGTCTGTCTGCACACCCCACGGTGCAGACATAAAAGTGGTGGGGGGTTGTGCGCGTGCGTGTGACATCACAGAGCGCACAACACAACCACCACCACCACCACACACACACACGCTTCCGTCTCGAACTCTCACCACTCAGCGGCCACCGACTCGCAGCTGTCCCCGCTCCACACTCTACACAACACACACACTCAGTACACAACACACACACTCAGTACACACACACACTCAGTACACACACACACACACGCAGCACACACACACACTCAGCTCGTACTCACACAGTGCAACACACGCGCAGCACACACAGCGATGGCAGGGGGCTACGTGTGCTCGCTGTCGCCCGAGCTGGTGGAGAGGGCTCGCGTGGAGCTGGGAGAGAACCCCGAGACGAGGGCCCAGGAGGTGCAGAAGCTGAGGGAGGCGCTCGCTCGTCGCCCCGACATCCCGGCCCGGACGGACGACGCCTTCCTGCTGCGGTTCCTGCGAGCCAGGAAGTTTGACCACGAGAAGACCTTCAAGCTCGTGGAGAGCTACTACAAGTAGTGTGCTTTGCTGCTGCTTCGCTTGACATACACACAGTGCGGGCAGTGACACTCCGACATACACACACAGTGCGGGCCATTGACACTCCGACATATACACAATGCGGGCCATTGACACTCCGACATATACACACAATGCGGCCATTGACACTCCGACACACACACAGTGCGGCCATTGACACTCCGACACACACACAGTGCGGCTATTGACACTCCGACATACACACACAGTGCAGCTATTGACACTCCCACACACACACACAGTGCGGCCATTGACACTCCGACATACACACACAGTGCAGCTATTGACACTCCGACATACACACACAGTGCAGCTATTGACACTCCGACATACACACACAGTGCAGCTATTGACACTCCGACATACACACAGTGCAGCTATTGACACTCCGACATACACACACAGTGCAGCTATTGACACTCCGACATATACACACAATGCGGCCATTGACACTCCGACACACACACAGTGCGGCCATTGACACTCCGACATACACACACAGTGCGGCTATTGACACTCCGACATACACACACAGTGCGGCCATTGATACTCCGACATACACACACAGTGCGGCCATTGACACTCCGACATACACGCACAGTGCGGCCATTGACACTCCGACATACACACACAGTGCGGCTATTGACACTCCGACATACACACACAGTGCGGCCATTGACACTCCGACATACACACACAGTGCGGCCATTGGCACTCCGACATACACACACAGTGCGGCCATTGACACTCCGACATACACACACAGTGCGGCCATTGACACTCCGACATACACACACAGTGCGGCCATTGACACTCCGACATACACACACAGTGCGGCCATTGACACTCCGACTATACACACACAGTGCGGCCATTGACACTCCGACATACACACAGTGCAGCTATTGCCACTCCGACATACACACACAGTGCGGCCATTGACACTCCGACATACACACACAGTGCGGCCATTGACACTCCGACATACACACACACGCGGCGTCTTGCTGTGCACAACGGCAAGAGCCACACACAAAGACAAAGGCACCCGGGCGGGCTTTAACAGACTGTTGGGCGAAAGTGATGTAAGCGAAGATTTATAAAGCCCGGGACGGCACGCGAGGGGTGGCCAACGGCTAGCCGCCTTTGTCTCCCCAGTGCTGATGTTTTACGCACACCGCAACGGGTACTCATTTGAGGCTGAGTAGACGTAAGGGATGACCAGGATCGGTTCAGATAATAGTCACAGATGTTGGCCGTGAGCGTGAATGGAACTCGCTCGCACGTGTGCCCGTGCGTGGCTCGAGACACAGCGGCCACTCACAGTGAAGACAATGCCACATCGAGGCTGACGAACTCTTAACGCATTCACACTTCCAGAGCTAACCATGTCCCGCTTTGCAACATTTTTGGAAAAAAAACATTTTTTTACGGGATGCGTTTTTAGTCCGGTTTCAAATCGGCAGTCTCTCGTTTGAAGAAGGGTCATCGCCCGAAACGTCGCCGAGTACATATTTGGCACGTGTTGTTGCTAAATACAGTTGGTTTCGCAAGTATGAAGTTGTCTTTAAAAAAGACCGCTTGCATAAACAAACCTTGCAACAACGCGTGCGTTCAAGACACCTGAGTTAAAGTGCTGTACGTCGTACTGTTGGCAAGCTTGACATCCGTTGTAATGACTAACGGGGCAATGCATACAGCGTTTTAAACACAAGTGAAGTCACATTTGGTCGCCACTTATTTAAAAAAAAGTTTGTAACGAGTGAAGGTTGACGCTTGCTCTTGAGTGGACATTGCCTGGGTGGTTAGAGGGTGCAGGCGTGTACAGTAGTCATGTTTGCATTGCCCTTCAGTGTAAGCTGAAGGCTTTGCGAGGAGAGTAAACTACGGTCATGAAGTTGTAAAACTCTACGGACTTTGTGTGAACTCACAATGCAGCCTCACACCACAAGGGACACTTGTGCAGCTATTTTGATCAACTCCCCGCAGTGTTAGTGCCGGGGTTGCCAACTGTCACTGAAGCTATTCCCGGGACGTTTTTATTCCTATTCAATCATTTTCTTATAATACCCTTTGTTAAAATATCCAGGATTGATTTCAATAGTCACTTGGAGATCGATGCCAATTCCGGTCGACTCTCTTCCAATCCGGGAGGGTGGCATACCTCAGTTATCGGGCCTCCGCCACGCCGTGCGGGTCACGAGGTTATATTTGACTCTACCTCACCGTACCGGTGAGTGAAGACAGAGGGAAGTGATGCGTGGGGTCATAGTTCAGTCCAACAATGGCATTGGCTGCACTGTCCACAGCTGGCCAAAACTCAGTCCCGTGGTAAAGCACAAACCATGCACAGTACATACCACAGAAAGTACAGTATGTAATATCACTATGTAGCACGATTTTTGTTCCTGCGTAGTAAGTGTTATTTTTTTAATTGTTTATGCCTAAAAAGTATAGAAAATGACTATTATTCATCACAAACTTATACATATTTGTTGATAGTGTTATTAATGGAGTGGATTATTAACTTTGCTTTTGTGTCCTGGTCACAAAAGCAAAGTTTGTGGGGAATAATATCCATTTGATGTACTTTTGAGGCATAAGCAGTTAGGAAATAACACTACTCGGGAACAATGTTTTTGTCACACTGTATTTAATGGACAGCCCTTGGTTAGTTGGTTGTTGGTTCAAAGGCTCACCGTAGAGATTGTTTGACCATGGGTTCACCATACCTCACCGTGCTGGTTAGAGCAGGTTGGTGAAGCAGAGAGAGGGCAGCACTGGCCGGTTCAGATATCACTCGCCGTGGCGAACATTCCACCCTTGCGCACATTATAGTACCACCCTTTGAATCAGCGAATAAGCTTCACGTCACGGATGTCCGTCATGCAAATTCGTGAGCTTGTGGTCTTACTCCCTTGTTGACTCCTTTTGTTTGAGGTGCCACGAGACCTGGCCAGACATCTTCCAGAATTTCCGACCGTCCGCAGTGAAAGCGTTGCTGGGCAGCGGCTTCATCCGCGTGTTGCCAGAGCGGGACTCCAAGGGCAGACGCGTCATCATACAGAGTCCCGGTGAGAGGGGACGCTGCTCAAGCTCTCCATTGCACTCTCAGGCTGTACCGCTTGTTGTTTGGTGTCATGTCTGACATTTGGCTCCATGTGTTGGGAGCTTCTTCAAGTACCGAGTTTTCATTTCACTTGTCCGACTCGCACACCAAAAATCGTGCAATGGGCCAACTGTTAGGTAGATGCATGGCACCTCCGGTTAGCACGGTTGATTACGTACAGTGTGAAAGAAGTTCAACATACAGTACATAGACTGGTAGCGGCGTTTGCCATTTGTTGCAGTGGTGTGTGGTTCGAACCCACAGCCGCCAGTTTACTACTACCGGTGTATTAACCGTGAAAACACATGCCTGTATTTCACAGTGGGTGTTAAAGATCTCGTGATGTTATTCTAAACATAGTAGGCTATGTGTGACGGCATCATTGTCCAAATTTGAATACAAATTTGCAATTGATTAAAATGGGAAGTCCATAGTAATCGCTCTCTGCTCCTAAAGCTTATCTGAACCCTCCTGATAAACAGTCGAGACTCTGTGAGGCTTTCCTCACAACTTTAATAACAATAATAATAACACACAACTATGACTATAGGGTTCCATACTCTTTGGTTCTTTCGGTAAAGGCACGAGGTTAATCACGTCCATGTCAATTTGAACAGGAAAGTGGAATCCTTCGACGACTCCCATGATGGACAATATCAGAGCGATGTACATGACGATGGAGCTGCTGATCCAGTCCGAGGAGACGCAGGTGAACGGGATCACCATCCTAGCAGACCACAAGGGCGTGCGCCTCGCCCACGTCACCAACTTCACCCCTTCTCTTATGAAGAAAATAACCACAGTGATGCAGGTACGTTACAGTGGAAGGCACACTAGGGAAAAAATCACGCCTAGATACGACTAACCCTAATCCTAACGCGCCAAAAGTCTTGTCACGTAGTCTCGTGCACAGCACTGTCATTATCACGGCGACAGTTTACATTCGTACGTAATGTTAACGATCTAAAAAAGGTAAAAAAAAATTGTCCTTACAAATCTCAACGTACAGAAACCTCTCATCCACAAGTCATATCTACTCTTTCCTTAAATGAATTTGCAATCACTTATGCATGTTTACATATTTGGGGACAGCTGTGGTTCAGTGGTTAATGCACTGTGTTATGAATGCTATAAACCGAGTTCGATTTCCGGCCACGGCTAACATCAGTGGCAAGTGATATCTGAATGAGACGTTGGCAGCACCTCACCAAACCAGCATTGACCAGTGTGTTAAAGTATGGTCAAATAGCCCTCTTGACTAACATTGCATGTGGAAGGCCATCATCCAGCAGTAAATTGACAGAGGTCTGTAAGTTACTGTTACATTTAAATGACATTTTTATTCACTTGTGTCTGTACATTGGGTTGTGGCCATTATTACACCTAATTTCAATGAGTCAAAAAACACTGTTTTTTTCTGTTCATGTTTCTGTTTGATCTTTCTGTGTGCGTGTTTTTTTTCTTCCAGGATGCATTTCCAATACGAATAAAGGGACATAACACAGTTAATGAGCCATCGATATTCAAAGCCATGTTCGCCTTGATGAAGCCCTTTTTGAAGGAGAAGATGCGAAAGCGGGTGAGCACTATTGAATCACTTTGTTGACACTGATAATATGTGGATGTTGAATCAGCATTCAAATACCTTGTACTAATGGTGTAGATTTTTTGTGATCGCAGCACATGAGAGTTTTAAGTGGAATTTTTTTTAAAATTTAGAAATAAACACCGGTGGTTTGCTGGTGTCTGCACTGTACACTTAAGTACACCATTTGATGGCTGCTATAGTTGGCACAAATTCTCTGCACTTTAAAATTACCTGACAGAGTGGCAAAGTGCCAGAGGCCTTGATTCACAGCCAAAAAGGACATGAATTCAAATCCCACTTTGGGGGTAAAGTCAGCCCATCCTCTCTTAGCGGTGGATAAAATGTTCACTACTTTTTGGAGGAACTGCCTCTCGTCATGGGACCGTTGCTTATGGCAATTGAAATGAGCATCATAATGCTCTTACGGGCAGATAGTCACTTTGATTTCATGGTAAAAGACTGCTCATGATGTTTTGATTTATTTTTGCCTTTTCTCTTTACCCAGTTATATTCCAATTGTGCTTTTTCGCATCACGTAACCGGCCGAAGAAATGTCTCTGACACATCACCTTGTGTCCGATAATTGTCCTGGAAGACGACATGAAAGAACTACTTCTGAAGTTACCTGAATAGACCTCTCTATACAAACTAGGGGCACGCCTTTTCTGTGCCCTGAGTGCAGAGTTCATATTAGCATGTCAATCAAGCCTCGTATGTTTTCAAATTCTCAGAATTGAAATAATTCAAACCCAGTGAAACACCAAATGTAACACTACGAGTTTATATATTGAGTCATCGGTGACTGGGCTGAGATCAATTCACTCCACTACGCACCTAAATCTCATTTAAACTCAGCACCTCAGCAGCGTTGGCTGGCTCAGTCTTTCTGACAAGCTATGACTGCAATATTATTTGGGTTCTAAAATGCACTTTTCTTGTGTGACCACATTTGTATAACTTTATTGACACCGGGCACCAGTTTGGGATGTATCTTACTTTCCAGAGCGTCTTAATAATCATAATTTCAACTTCTAATGCGTCACACCATCTTCGCTCACTCTCGTATAGAGAGAACAACTCAAAGGCCCAAGGGACAACAAATAAGTAAGCTGGTGCCAAACTCCCATCCAAGCTCTGTGGTCCTCTATTTATTGAGGTGTTATTGGCCAAGTCATGCGCGTTTACTCGTGGGAGGATATCGGAGAGCCGGAAGAAAACTCGCGCGTGCAAGGGGGAAACACTATCTGATACAGGTCGAACAGATTGGAGTCCACATTGTTTCTGTAATGCCTTCTGGGAAGCCAGGGTCTGGCACCTCGACGGGCATTTTTCAGAACATTTGTGCGATCCACCAACTCTCACTGCCTCCACGGTGCTGCATTGCAAGCGCGTGCGTCTTCACCATCACCTGGGTAAAGTGTGAATAATAAAGTTGTCTCCCTTGAATCTTCCAGCCGCACCTAAGCGGTCGTTTTTAAAAATTTATTTTGTTGCAGATGATATTCCACGGCACGGACTTCCTGTCGCTGCACAAGCAAATCTCTCCCGACATCCTGCCAGCAGAGTACGGGGGCACGGCGCCCGGGATCTCCGCCGACACCTGGGCCCAGGAGCTGCTCGCCGCCGAGCCTTACTTCCTCGAAGCGTTTGGAGGCATCGTCTTCAAGAAGGATTTGCCCGCGGAGGTCCTCACGGACGAGGATAAGAAGCTGCAGGCAGATTTTAGGCGGGTCATTGAGGAGGTAGAGCCCGACGAGGAGTGGACCAAGCTATAGATCGCCTGCACTCGCGTCCGGCCTGAGGGCCTGCACCTCGAGCCAATCAGAAATAAGTAGAGCTGAGCTACACGATTGTTTAAGCGATTGATTATTGAATCTAATGGTTCAATTAATTACTGTTGAAAAAATAAGAAAATATTCGGGGGCGGGGGGGGAGTGTCATCTGTGTTCTCACATTGTGCCACTGGACTGGGGAGGTGATGGGTGGGAGTCACCAGGATCATCATCAGCCGCATAATGCTGGATGTGGCTTGTAGGGAGTTTCCTGTCTTCTTTTTTAAAGGTGGCAATTAATAAACTACAAAAAGTCGATAACAGGTTCTAGTCGATCGATCGTCAGTGTTTCTATGTTAAAATGACCTCACCCACGTGAGGCCAAGAGAGGGCATTAGATAATATGAGACACACATCACTGTTGTTGATGCCATGAGTGGCTGGATTGCTTTTCTTAGATCTGCCCTCTGCTGGCAACAGTTGGTGGTGTTAGTTGTAGAGACGCACGGTCCTGTAAACTGCGTACACAATTGCTGCTGCACGATGTAACCTGTTAAAGTTTATCGAAGAGTCATCGTTATTTGGGTTATCTTGTCAAGTCATGAAAGGCAGAGGCTTACTTTAGAGGCATACGTATTGTGCACCATTATGAATAAATACAATATTTGCATAATACATAATAAAGGTTTTTGGGTTAGATCGCGTTTATTTATAAATGTGTCGTAACCCTCCACCACCCGACACGGCCAATCAGCAAAAAAAGTGTCACGTTGACAAAAGACAAATAATTCACTACTTCAGCCCACCGGTGTGTTGAAGAGTTAATCCACATTTACAGTTTGAGTACGACGTTTCGCTGGTAAATACTTCCAGCATCATCGGGCAATTCGCCAGAATGGTAAAGCCCTCGCTTGCTCCCGGTTTTATATAGAGCAGCAGGGTGACGTCATCACTTAACTCATCAGGTGCAGTGATTAGAGGCGGAGGGGGGGGTAATGTAATTATATAATCGATTAGTAATCAGTCATTGGTTATGATTAGTAATGAGTTGTAGATTAGTAATTCTTTAAATCAAAATGTAATGTGTATTATTTAATAATACGCTTCCAACGTCGTACTCAAACTGTAAATGTGGATTAACTCTTCAACACACCGGTGGGCTGAAGTAGTGAATTATTTGTCTTTTGTCAACGTGACACTTTTTTTGCTGATTGGCCGTGTCGGGTGGTGGAGGGTTACGACACATTTATAAATAAACGCGATCTAACCCAAAAACCTTTATTATGAATAATATTGGTCGCGAAAGCCTACGTGTTAAACAATATTTGCAATTGTTTTTTTTTTATAATTTACATACAGCGGAGTTATATTCACAATAAAGTGTATTTCAGCAATCCATAGAACTGTATGTTTTGACATTTTGCAAACCCACACAACGTTGGAAAGTACAATTTTGTTCCTGTTTAATGTCACCAACTCAAAAAAGTTGTCACTCGAGTTTCGCGACTTGTCCCCACATTCAGTCAGAGTGACAAATCCAGGTACCATTCGGGACAAGGATATGATGCAGATTTTATTAGCAATTCCAGGTGTGTATTCAGGATAAAGTTTTATTCTGTGTCAAAAACGTCAGAGTGTATTTTGCTCAATGAGCGTTGAGCTGATGCTGATGTTCCGTTTGCAGCCCTGTAGAGCAAATGGTGTAAATCCCACATTCCTGTGACAGGGGCGAGTCTCTCCATAGGACAACCACTCTTGGCTTCTCTACAATGTGGTACTTATTTTGTCTGCCCCAGGGGGACATGATAGGCAGAGTCAACCTCCAAACAAGATTTGGATTTGCAACTTTCTAATGGCGAGCCGCTCGCTTTACCCCTGAGTCACCTGGCCAGATATTCTGCAGCGTGCGTAACCCTGCGTCATTGTCTCGGCACACATCTTATGACTTTATGTCAACCTCGTGACATTTTAGTTTTATGAGTTTTAAACATTGGTCCTGTTGCATTAAAACATCTCTCCTGCATATTAATGTCTCTGACTCTGAAGTGTTGTCTATTTAATTACCAGGCACCTTGCTGTATTGTGTAGTTAAAAGCCGATAGTACGCATGATGGTCGGTAACAATGAATTATTATAAAGAAACTGGAAAATCAACAACAACCCAGTCTGATTGCCGTCCATACCGCGACTGCCGACGCTGGCCCGAACGCAAGAAAGGTAATTCCACCCCTTCTAACGTGGCACTCACGTGTACATTCTCTCGAGAAGTGTTGGCATTTCAATTTAATTCACATTTCACGTTTATTTGGGCATGACTGCATATGGACATAGATGTAGTGACCCAGGTGTGGCCTAGTTTGGAGCCGCTGGAAGGTGCATAGGTTTTTTTGTTTAAGGAGGATCTGGAAGGAGAGAATCGGTAAAGGAGTGGTGGTGGAGACGGGATAGCGTGGAAGGCGCGGGCAATAAGGTGGGGTTAAGACGAGGGGATACAAAGCGGTGTGGAGCCGGGGTGTGGGGCTCTGAGTAGAGGTCTAAACGTCGATGCCCCTCTAGTGGAGAGTACCATATCTGTTTAACACGTAGGCTTTCGCGACCAATATTATTCATAATAAAGGTGTTTGGGTTAGATCGCGTTTATTTATAAATATGTCGTAACCCTCCACCACCCGACACGGCCAATCAGCAAAAAAAGTGTCACGTTGACAAAAGACAAATAATTCACTACTTCAGCCCACCGGTGTGTTGAAGAGTTAATCCACATTTACAGTTTGAGTACGACGTTTCGCTGGTAAATACATCCAGCATCATCGGGCAATTCGCCAGAATGGTAAAGCCCTCGCTTGCTCCCGGTTTTATATAGAGCAGCAGGGTGACGTCATCACTTAACTCATATCAGGTGCAGTGATTAGAGGCGGAGGGGGGGGGGTATTGTAATTATATAATCGATTAGTAATCAGTCATTGGTTATGATTAATAATGAGTTGTAGATTAGTAATTCTTTAAATCAAAATGTAATGTGTATTATTTAATAATACGCTTCCAGGCCGCACTAAGCCGGTAGCTGTCAGAGCGATTAAAGTTATTCTTGTTCCTCTCAATTTCAATGGATTCTCTAATTAGTCTTTGCCAGTAATAATTAGTTTTACACACCACTGCAACATTGTCAAAATCAATTGAGTGTCCTTGTTGACAAGCATGTTCTGCCACTGCCGACAGTTGTGTTTGAGATTATTTAATATTTCTCTGATGTTCTTTTAGTCTTACGCTGATGTTACGTCCCGTCTGCCCAATGTAGCAGCTGCCACATGAACAATTAATCCGATATACACCTTCTGTTGATAGTTTAGGTAATGCATCTTTAGTGCAAGATACTAGTTGGTAAGTTTTGATGTGGTTTCTCTATTCACTAAGGTTCCAGTGGACGAATCGCTTAAATTACTTGATACACTAGTAAAGAATACCGGTTTACCAAAAGATATTCCGAAACTTGCTGGCCATTGTTTAAATAACACTTACTTCTTATGGAGAGGGGATTTCTTTAAACAAAAGGAAGGAGCAGCAATGGGTTCTCCTTTATCCCCTGCTATAGCAAATTTGTACATGGAAAACTTTAAAATAAGAGCACTTGCCTCGAGCACATTAAAACCATCCTTTTGGTTTAGGTATGTGGATGACACTTTGGTTTTCTGGCCACATGGTAAAGATACACTTAATGATTTTCTAAATCATCTCAATGCACAAAACCCGGCCATCCAGTTCACCATGGAAATGGAGGTGAATAACACACTCCCATTCCTAGATATTTTGCTTGGACATGGCCTAAACGGTAAAATAACACAGCGTTTACAGAAAGCAAACGCACACTGATGCCTATCTGAATGCAGAATCACATCATCATCCAGCTCAGAAATCCTCTCTTATCAAGACGCTCATACATCGGGCCAAAACAGTGTCAGATGGTGAGAGTCTAGTGAGAGAGATTAAACACGTTAAAGACGCACTACGACAGAATGGCTACAATAATGCTCAAATTAACAGAGCACTGAATGCCAAATCACGATCGCAAAGCAATACTGCTGAAAACGACCAGATTGTTAAAACAATAGAAATTCCATATATCTCAGGAGTAACTGACAAATTAGCCCGTGTTTTGCAAAAGCAAAACATTACAGTAAGATTTGGTACAGTACACAAAATTGAAAAACTAGTATCTTGCACTAAAGATGCATTACCTAAACTATCAACAGAAGGTGTATATCGGATTAATTGTTCATGTGGCAGCTGCTACATTGGGCAGACGGGACGTAACATCAGCGTAAGACTAAAAGAACATCAGAGAAATATTAAATTATCTCAAACACAACTGTCGGCAGTGGCAGAACATGCTTGTCAACAAGGACACTCAATTGATTTTGACAATGTTGCAGTGGTGTGTAAAACTAATTATTACTGGCAAAGACTAATTAGAGAATCCATTGAAATTGAGAGGAACAAGAATAACTTTAATCGCTCTGACAGCTACCGGCTTAGTGCGGCCTGGAAGCGTATTATTAAATAATACACATTACATTTTGATTTAAAGAATTACTAATCTACAACTCATTACTAATCATAACCAATGACTGATTACTAATCGATTATATAATTACAATACCCACCCCCCTCCGCCTCTAATCACTGCACCTGATATGAGTTAAGTGATGACGTCACCCTGCTGCTCTATATAAAACCGGGAGCAAGCGAGGGCTTTACCATTCTGGCAAATTGCCCGATGATGCTGGATGTATTTACCAGCGAAACGTCGTACTCAAACTGTAAATGTGGATTAACTCTTCAACACACCGGTGGGCTGAAGTAGTGAATTATTTGTCTTTTGTCAACGTGACACTTTTTTTGCTGATTGGCCGTGTCGGGTGGTGGAGGGTTACGACACATTTATAAATAAACGCGATCTAACCCAAAAACCTTTATTATGAGTACCATATCTACGTGTTGCAGAAAGGCCCTCGCTGTCCATTTACGTGAAGTTACCTTCAAGTTCTGGCCAGTCGGGCCCTAAAGGGAGTCGTCTGGAGGTGAGTGTAGGGTGGACACTTACCTGAGGGGTTCTGAGAAGAACGCTTTGTATGTATAGTTGAATTGTCTTAATATATGCTGGGACCATAATGGAATGGAAATTCATCGTCAGGCCTGTCACATGTTACCCATAATTCCTCGTAATAAATTAAACAATGCAGCCCTAGATTCTGGCCACCTCAGTTTAATTCCAACCACAGATAAAATTTTAGTTTTAAATATAGATTTAAAAGTGCATCGCTCCAGTGGTTTCCTAATATCGGAAAGAAGAATGTTCCAGACGGTCGCAGAAGCGCATTTGAAAGCACACGATGCAGTGGCCGTCTTTGTTCCATAATTATCCAAACTCCGCTGCGCGGACATGAATTTGTTGGGTGGTGGCGGACATTAAATGAATGTTGCTGATTCATGAGCACCCTAGGCAGGCTTCATGTGACACGTCCCCTCGTTTGAGAAGATTGAGCACCCCTCCCCCACGGAGAGAATGTTGACTGGGGGCTTCAACAGAGAACCTCGGTCTGTGGTGCGAGGGAGGCAGGGGACCAGCAGTCCATGGGCGAATGTGAAGACGTAGAGTGCGCTCTTGAAATTTATCCGGAATTGTATCGGGAGGCTCGAGCATCCCGGTCCATATCTTTGAAGACCTGTCCGTGTTTCAGTTGC